TGTGTAAGAAAGCGAGAAAGGAGACGTGACATATTCCTCACTAGTTGGCCTCTTGCCAGCACGCAGTCAAATGTTGGCTAGTTGCCAACGAGTGTCCGTCCGTGTGATCGCTCGACAACCTGCCCTTTTTAGAATACGACATATGCGTAATCAGAACGGATCGAAGGGCGCATAAAAACGTCCAGCCACGTCTGCGTTGCTCGTTGTCATTTGGGAACAAAAAGACAAGCAGCAGCTGGCCATTCACCGCGCCACAGCAATCCAATCCACCACGTACGGAGTAGATTTTGATATAACAGGAAATCCACTACCACGACCTGACATTCAGGACCCCGCATGATTGGCAAGTGATCAATAATGAGGGCCCTATTTGAGCAACCAGGCTGAGGGCGAAGGAGAGGGAGCAGGTAAGTAAGGTAGGTCCATTAGAAATAGGAAAACCGCGACAGCATCACCTGAAAACCAACAGTCAAGGAGAATTCTGACGCAGTTCGACTTGGTGTGAGCAGCAAGCCCGGTGGAGAAGGGGGGGGGGGGGGGGAGGAAATACTTAATGAAACCTGAACAGGTCACCTTATGAAGACTGTAAATTCTTGCAACCAAAGTGGTCCACTTGAACTATTTTGCAGCTGCAGAAGAGTTTACGGGCAGGCCTCCTTGGAGGAGACCTGTTAGTTGCCATAAGCTGGCAAAAGGAACGAGCGAAAGTGCGAAATGCCCTTCCCAAGCAGAACAGCGTTAGAATTCTCACCAGGGAAAATATACCCTGCTCTATGGACCCCCAACCATGATCGACAGATCTGGCTTGGCAGAATGGTCGTATTTCGTTTACCGCATGGGCCTGCATCATACAAAAACCGACATTTTGGAAATGTTTTTTACTGGCTTCTTATGATTCAGCATTTCCTCGGCCGCCGACGCGTTTTTCTTGATGGGAAGGTGACACGGCATGTCCTGCATTTGAGGGAATTTTCTGTAAACTACGATTCCCCTCCTCTCAGCGGCCAAATACCCTTAAGGAGCCCCACTGTGCCCCTGGAAGCAAGCAGGCAAGTAAATCAAAGCTGGACTTCCAATTTGAAGACGGCTATAGAGCGGCACCTGTGAAGGGGACTCGTGCTCTGTTACCAGAGTGGCGCAGGTCGGCTCGGTAGGGGCATACTGCTCGCTCCCATCGATCACAACCAAAGCCCTTGAGAAAGCTACATGCAATACCCTTAAGGAACCCCACCCAGCATGAGCTTCGTTCACCCTTACAAGTGATTACAGATCTTACCAAAGCAAAATGTGCTATCTAACAGGACCTAGTAACAGAAATCAAGTGCAAATGCCCTCCCAAGCCGAACAAAGCCATCAAATTTCCTCACCGTCATGCCCTAATGACAGTGTTGATTTCAATCCACTACTTTCAACCCGTTGCCGAGGCTGGGGGATTGTAAATTAGTAAATAGCTGAACCTGAGGTGAAGGTTTTGAGAAATACTGTTCTCCGAACTAACTACGGCTGGACTACGTCACATCTCCAATGCGATCTTTGTAGGTCAGAACCGATTCTTTACAATTTTTTAATGTTCATTGTATCTGTGTGTATGTAGCGTCACTGATCCATCTCTTCCAGTTGTATATATCTTGCCTGGATTATCCTTAATTCCATGAACTTCTCGCGACTTTCATCAGTTGACCTTTCCAGTTATTTCTCTTCAAATATCTATCAGTCCCATTTCTGGTACCTTCTGCTGCATCTCCTTCCATCTCCCAACCATTTTGCTTCTTTTTGTTCTTTTTCCATTACTTCCTTGTAGAGTTATGTTCCTTCAGTGTTTTAGCGCGCGGCCTATCAAATGGACCGCGCTAGATTCAGCGATACCAATGTTTGCTCGAGCGCTTTGATAAAAAACCATGCAACAATGCAAATCTGTACGGTTCTGCTGTACCGATCAATAGTTCATTCTCGATGAATCGACTCACTCCCACTGTATTTGTCAAGTACTTTGGGGCAATGTTCGGCTTAGGGGAGAGCATTTTGGACGAAACATGTTTCTCTTTGGTGAGACCTGTAGACTCCTGCCAAGTGTGAACGAGGCTCCTGTTACTGCACATCTTTACAGGAACCTACAGGTTTCCACAGGACGCAACGGCTGCGATCGATGGGAGCCATCAAAATGCCCCCACCAAGCCGAACTGCACCAGCACTTTGTTTCATCTAGTGCTTCTCTTCAAACACAGCTGTGAATGCCGACTTTGTTACTATGCCGGCCACAAACATAAACCATGACGTTCTCCATGCTTCAAGACTCCTTTGAACTTCATTGTGTTGACTTACCTCAGTCCATAATTCCAAAGTTAGAACACTTGCATTCAATATCGCGTGCACGACTAGTTTACATAAAACTCAACAGATTGCTCTTGAGGGCGCTATTCCAGCAAGTGAGAGCCGAGGCACATGATTACCAGCACGTCCTTCCAAAGCAGAATCTCAGGCGACCCCTGCCTCCCTCCCCCCCCCCCCCCCCGACACGACCCCCTGATAGGACGCAACGATTATGAACTAGTTTACATAAGTCCCCCGGTAAACTCATTCCATATACTGAACTACTTCGAATGCAAAAGAAATGGTGAACGAAGAAAAAAGTACCCCTTGGAGACTCCTTTAGTTCTTTGCGCTGGTTTACCTTTCCTGGGAAGGGGGAGGCGGGGAAGTTACACCCTAACGCTCCTTGCCCCCATGCTCAGGCGAAGATGACCAAATGATCATTCGTCTTGGCAGCCACCGTTGTTTTATGAGCTTTGGGTAACTTTGGGTACTGTCTAAATGCTCCACCTTACTGGAATAGGGCCCAACACGTTTCAACTATGATACAACAAATCAAATGATCTTACCACATTAGTATACCTGTGCTGTGGAGGTAATTACCATTGTTATTTTTATCGGTTACGCCCGCTTTTGCATACATATCAAATGAGGATTATGCTAATTATCCCATTTTCAGAACGTTGCAGTTCTCCGAATCGGAAAACAATCGGTTTCCTGTGGAATTATTTCGACCACTACCACATCACCCAATGACAAGAATAGTTCAGCTTCAGTACAGCTGTCGACCGCTGTGCTTCCTTTTCCACCCTTTCAAAAGTCCATCCAAAAACGCGACAAGAAAGTGCCTTTGGACTCTTCCAGCGACAGAAACACTGCTTGATAGATGCTCAGTAAGCTGTCCACAATGAGCCCGTTTCGCGCCAACTTTTAAAGCAGAATCAACAATACTTTCCCGGGGTTAAAAATCTTCCCGAACCTGTTCAAAATTGGAGGAATCCAACCTCCCTCGAGACATTCCTTGTCGGTGTAAGGGCTCTAAGGCTCCAGTGAAAAAAAGTAGCGCTGTTTCAGTAAGGAGTAGAGGTTCACCCTAGAGACCTTCATCACCAGGACACATCGCGCTGGGGAGATTTTAGGTACGCACGAGTCCTCTTCCCTTGTTTCTCTTCGGGACCATCCTCTTTCACAACCTACACCACCTACCTACCTTATTACCTACCACTTTTTTTCAGAATTCATGGGCGGTTAAGCAGGTGATCGTCAAGTTCAATCAACTATCAGAAACCGCAGATTTGTTACATAACGATGTGCCCTATTCCCCATCCTACACTTAGGGAAAAACATAGAGGTACCATCATTACGGAATTCAAAACGCAAGTAGGGTGGTCATATTTTGTCGCTGGGGAGGAGTGGGTCGGGCGCAGTTCGGCTTGGGGGGGGGTACTTTCCACCAATCACTGCCGATGCCTACGGAGACCTGTAAACTCTTGTAAAGCTATACAATAGCAAGAGCTTCTTACACTTGAGAAGAGTCTCAAGTTTCACCGGGTAACGCGAAATTGTAACCTGTCCCTTCCAAGCCGAACAGCGCCGCGGCCGTTTTGTAGAATTATTTCCTGGACTGCCATGATGGACCCTAGACTATATCCCTTGAAAAAACGACCGTGTAGGCCAAGGTGATTTCATACTTTTCTTAGCTTACAGGATCGTTTTTAGCGCCATTTCTCCGTCTATTTAAATGAAAGGGAATGTGTGTCTTCAAATACTTTCGCTGCCCTTCAAGAAAATGCCGCACCTTACTGAAACGGCGCCAGAAAGCTCTAACTGGACCTAGGAATCCTTTACACACAAAAAAGACTTGTAACGACGGACCTCTTAGATGTCAGAGAACCACTTCTGTTAAAAAAACGGATCAATAAAATTATGCCTAATCGCGCCCAATTAACAAAACCTACCAGTTCTTTGGTCTTCTTTCCTCCCATGATGGATTGCTGGTTTCCGACCATTCACTGCTATTTCTTGTAAGCAAAAGCTTTTCACTATAGTCAAGTCTCCCTGGCTTTTCGGCGCCTTCTGGCGAGTTCTTCCCCTTCGCGCTCATCCTTCCTCCCTCCGCTCTTCGATTCGCATATAATGCGAAACATCGCAAACACACAGCACGCCACATGCAATGATTCGATCTGGCGAATGTGAGCACTGCGACAGCGCAAAAAAAAGCGCGGCGCCAGCGATCAAAAAAAGCCTCATAGAGAGAGCGAGAGAGGGAAAGATACCTAGCCGAGCGAATCTAGCCGATTATCTACCACCATCACACGAAGCCGTGTCATTACAACACCCACATAATAACACACAGCGGCAATTACACATACCCACTTACGAATGTTTTGAAATTGATTAGAAAAGTAGTTTTACAGTGCTCTTTCCTAGTTTCACTAGTGCATTGCAGCATCATTTTCCAATACGTCAGCTGATGCCACCCGTGCTGATGACGCCATTACGATCGATAAGTCTGCCAACGCACTTTCCGCTGCCCCGCCAAGTGCAGCCAGCCAGCCAGCCAGCAGCGCTGTTTGTTCGACACTAGAGACGTGTTTTTGAATTTTTCCGAGAGCTCGTTCGCTTTCTCCTTCCCTCAACCTGGTTCTCTTCAAACCCCGCGCCGAATCACCACCACCATCTGATTCCTTTCATTTCCTCCCTTTGTGTTTGTTTTGCGGGTTCCAGACAGTTGGGGATGCAGCATGCCTTCGCTTTTCTTCAGTGATTCCTTCTGAAACTGAAAATGCACATGCTCCCGTGCCTACTTTTCGAATGTGAACCACATGGTGTTCGAGGAATCGACTGTAGTCGGCGATGAAATGATCGAAAAGCCATCGTTTATCGGTGATCATTCCTGATGATACAACGCGGCACAGCACCTGAAAAAGAACACGCTGAAAGAATATCGAAACTGAAAGGAAAGAAAAAGAGTAAAAAAGGAAGAAAGAAAGGAAATAGACTAAAAAAGGTGAAAAAAGACAGTCGGATAGAGAAACACGGAGAGAGACGCCCCGTTGCCCATTACAGCACATCAAAGCTGGCTGTGATATGAGCAAGTCGACAAATCACCCACCACTTTGACGTGCCGTGCCGGTGTTGAGGACAGTTACTCTGCTCCCTCTGGTTCATGTGCACACACCCACCACATGATTCACTTAGTCAGATAGACACAAATAAAGAAACAAAGCGAATTGGTTTAGTGTACAGACAGACGACGGACGATGCGATGTGGACATTGCCGGTTTCATTCGGGTTCGAACAAACTGCGAGTAACGTCGAACAAGTGACGAGACAAAGACTGGTGGGGAGGCAGTAGAAAGAGAAACGCGCCAGCTGCGCGTAACAGCCGCCACCACTGCTCAAAAATTGCCGATAGTCGGGCTATCCGCTCAATTTGTGCGCTCAAGGGTGAGCTGGAGCAGCAGCCAAAATCAGAATGTGGATGTCAGAATGTGATGGCGGTCAAAAAAAGGGCATCGGCCGGGGTGGAAAACAAAGGCAATAAAGACGGGATAAATGAGGGGTTTTGGGGGGTGGGTGGGTGTGTGTGAGGAGGGTACCCGGGCTGAGAGGGAAGTGCATATTGCGTAGATTCGAAGGGCGAAAAACAGAATAGTGATACGGCCAGAACAAAGCGTCTCACTACCCATGTCTTTCACCCTCCAAACAACTCGCACTCTCTCATTGCACCGGCTGGCATCATTGCCTGATGACCTCTGTCTGCCACGTGTTCTCTCGTCACGCTAGCTGTCCGCACTCTCCACTGCTCGTGTGTACTCTGCACTCTTACTCTGCGCACTCCACACCATCAATGTACTCTCGGCTTGGAGCGCGCGTGTTTCTTTCGAGAATAAATGCAATGCATACACTCAGAGGGGGGAGTTGGCGGGCGCTGGCGCGCGGAAAGACCCGCCGGCAGCTCGGCAGGGCACACTGACGAACAACAAGAAATTCTGGCTGTGGAAATGTGGGTGGGAAGAGAAGATGGTATTCGGGAGGAGGAGGGGAGACGATTAGATGGGAGGGTTGATGACGAATAAAGTGCGATGAGAGCAGTACAGGGGGCAAGATGGTGGTGACACATGCACACACAGACAAACGGGCACAAAAGACGACGACAGAACAGGCGCAGGCAGCACTGAATAGCAGCAGCCCGTACCGCAGCTATTTCCACACGACGATCTTCCATTCCAGGGTCATCACCCTTTGATTCGACCAGATCGAATAGAATTGGAATGATCTGGTTTCGTAATGCATCTGAAACATTTAACATTTTAGAAAACCTCCAAGACGATGTGAACAAAGCAAAAAATGAAAACGAAACAAAACGGGTACTCAGCAACGGCGCAACCCTGACGGCATCTGATAGCGTATGCGAAACGATGCCCCTTTTTTAGCGTAGTGAACAAAGGCGCGATAAAAGCTAGCCGAATTGCCGACTCAGATAACGACAGCGGCTACGGCGATGCTGTTTCTGATAAAGAAACACCAAGCGAAAGTCGTTGATTGAGGCAGAAACGATATATGAAACTGAAACATATAATAAGAACTAACCTTGTGGAATGAGTCCTCGTTCAAGTAGCACACCAACGCCAAAAACGGCACGATTACTAGTCTGAAATAGGTGAATGTTCGAGAATAACCAGCCGAATTAGTTCGACGAACAGAACGAATGGTAGAGAATAGAAGAATAGAAAAAGTAGTCAGTCCGTGGTAATAGATGGTGTGTTGTGGAATGGGGTTGCTGGTGGGAGAGGCACAGAGATGGAGAGGGCGGCAACGAACAGAATAGTGAGGGAGGGAAATGGGAGCTGTCTTGATAGCGGGCGCACACACGCAACAAACACGCTCGCTCACGTTGTTGAAGCGGGGGCGGAGCCTGGAGAAGACCGAGGGCCAATCAGCGAATGGCTGGCAGACGCAGCAATTGCCAGTCGTGACGGACGCAGACGACGGGGGTCATCATGGACGCAGACACAACAAAATGATAACACAGCAGCCAGTCAGAGAAACTGCGAGCATACGAAAATGCGCTCACACGCAGCACCCCCCAATGAAAAAGACTGCGAAAGTCGTCGCGAGGCGCAGACGGTCGTAGCACGACGTAACGAGTGAGTGCGAGCTGGAGAGGTACGAGATGGTGGAGGGCGTTGGTGAAGGGGGGAGATGAGGTTGGCTGCTAGGATGGCTGGCGGCAGGCAAGCAAGTAGGCAGCAGGCAGGCTGCCTGCATGGCGGACGGGCGGCCGCAGATCACAGTAGGCCAACGAATACGGCGACGACGAACAAACCAAAGACTAACTGCTCGAAATACATGACGACCAGCAGAAAACTACGGCTGAACGCTGAAATATACATGCGACTATATAGTGCCTCGGCAACCCAGAAAAGGGGGAGATAGCGACAATTGTACCAACCCTGGGATATTGTGAGGGGACGTCGATGTGGATGGCAAACGTGCAGCAACGAGCGAGGTGACGGCTGGGCGCATTTCGCACATTCAAGGTCAAACATTACAAAAAAGAGCGACCGGTTTTCGTGTGCGGAGAAAGCGATGACCCTGGCTTAGAAATCGTTCGACCTTCGAGCAGCAATTGACAAGGGACGGGACAGACGGACGGGCTGACGGACGAGCGCGGACGAGGCGCACCCGAACAAATACATATAATACTAGCAAAGCATTTCGCCTCTTCAACACAACACACTGCAGCGGCGCTCCTGCTGCTGCCGCCATTGCCGCCAACTTCCCCCTCGCCACTAAGCCGCTTTACGAGAACAATCGCTACGGGTTTTTAGGGAGAAGAGAGAGGGATAGAGACATTGATGGGGAAAGAGAAAGCAAGGAAAACAGAAAGATGATGAAGTGCGAAATTTTAGCCAGGAAGTCCTAAAGGCTAGATGGAGCTGATGGGAGGTAAAAACCTAAAGATTACATTCGTAGCCTATCGACTCAACGCCGGCATTCATAGATAGGAAAAAAAATGATCGTCCAGAGAAAAGGTTTCAGATAAACTTGAAAAGTTTGGGATTGTAACACAAAACAAACTAAGCTAATCTGAGAATTATTCCTATAAGTTGGAGAATTTCGTGCAGGACACCGCTAGCATTTAAAAAACCTCAACTTTTTTGGAACTAGTGTAATATAGCGTGGCATTTCGTGTAGTCGTAATTTTGCACAAAAAGTTTTTCAGTCCTCGCTTCGTTTTCATGCCATTTCTCCAATTTTTTTTCCTTGGTGGGAAGTATCTGGTGCTCGTCGAGCGGAAAAGTTCTCAGATAAACTTGCAAGATTTCGCGATTGTAAAAAAAACAACCGAAAACCGAACGCGAGTCGCAAAGCGTTGTCTGATAATTGGGGTTTTTGGTGTAGGACACTTGGAGCATCTAAACTTACGACACTTTCTTTGGCAGTAGTGTAATATATCGTGGTATTTTGTGCAATCGTAATTTTGGCAGAGAAGTTTTATTGTTCATCCTCGCTTCTTTTCTCGGCTTTTCTTTGATTTTTTTTTCTCCGCTAGACAGCATTTAGTGCCGGGTCGAGCGGAAAATGTCTAAACTTGCAAGGTTCTGCGAGTGCAACGCAAAACTATCTGAGCGTCTCTGAGGATTATTCCAATAAGAAGGGGATTTGGTTCAGGAACGCTACGAGGGTCTGAGACGACAACATTTCTTGACACCATAAGTATAAGCAATCATTCGTAGCAGAATGCAATTTTTGCACAGATATTTTTATGTCTCGATCGCTCTGAACGATTCAGATTAACATTGAAGGTTTGCGATTGCACTTGAACAGCTGATCAAATCTGGGCATTTTCAGTGAGACTTGGGCTAAGTAGGACTTTTAAGGTATTGAAATACGACAAATTTCTTGGCACTATGTAATGTACCGTGGCATTTTGTGCAATCATTCGCTGGACTATCGCAATTCCGAAAAATTTTTTTTGGTTTTCGCCTCGTTTCCATTTCCTGATTTTTTTTCTCTGTGGACAGTCAATTAGATGGTCGTGACGGAAAACTCAAAATTCACAGTTCTGGGCGATTGCCAACCGAAAACGGCTTGAGCATTTTAGCATTAATGCTGAGCATTTGGGGATTCTGCTGCAGGGCACAAGGATTTAAACACGACTTTCTCTTATAAGTATTTAATATATAGTGGCATATTTTGCAACCCACTCAGCTGGACAATTGTAATTTTGGCGAGTTTTTTTATATCATCTGGGCTCGTTCCCGGTCTGTCTAAATTTTTTTTTCTAGTGTGCAGACTCAATGCTGCACGTAACCTGGGGAAAACTGTGGGTCGAAAAGAAATTTCGTCCAGGCTTGATGGGAGAGTAGCCCTGGCCATAAATTCCACTTTTCAAAGTTTCGTGATTCCGTTTTCCATGGGAAGATTATTGCGATTGTTCCAAGAACCGTGAGTGTTCTGCTTAGCGTTTTTTTTTGTAGGGAAAGCATTCCCGCTAGGCACAGTACGCGAGAACTCATTCTGCACCATTATGTTGGCTCGCCCTTCCCGCATCATGCTTACATGGAGGAAGTACTCCGCTAGACACTACGATTTTTTCTGCCTTAGCCAAGATGGGTGCAGAACATTCAAGAGAAAAAAAATAGAAGAAAAGCGGCAGTAAACGAAAGCTCGTACTCTTCATAGTTTAAAAGGCTTATTGCAAACCAGAGTCGTATAACGCATGACTATTACCAGAATACCCACTACTAAAAGGCAAATTCAAAACGGAATTGCCGACGTGCAATATCATTCTACAGTATTTATACATGGGGCAGACTCCGTACTTCACTCGGGTACGGTTTATGTACTAGCAGAGTTTATTTGGGAAGGATAATGATTACTGTACTCGGATAACTCATGGAAATTTTCTATAGTCGGCGCAAAATGCTTTCAAGCAATCGTTATATTCTAAGGGGAGGTCATGCATGGCGATTTGGAGCGCGCTGACGCGAAGCTTATAGTACTTCGAGAGAGAGTTTGCTTAGTCAAGAGGTATGTATCATGTCACTTTCGGAGCTTTTGGTTGGGAGGGGGAAGGAGAAAGATGTTTTCTTCATCTTCGCGGTTGACATGTCGACTACAGAAGTTTACAGTCCTGCCAATTGAGACTGTCAAAGTGCTTGTGAAGCAGCAAATCGTACAGTAACCGCATTGGTCAGTTACAGATGTCTTTGGGGGGGGGGGAGGGGGGGTAGTCTGTATAGAGTTTCACGAGAACCACTTTGGTTCCCAACCTAGTCGACTTACCTTGGATCAACACTTGTGCTAGCTAATATAAATGATTCTTTTCGCTCAGCGAGGAAGGGGTATCGCAGATGATGGATGACTTCTTGAATGAAGCAGAGATTACACCTAAACGGTCATCCAGTTGGGGCCTCACCAACAGGATATATCGTACGTTCGTCTCTAGCGATGAAGGGGCCGTATCTGGTTGTTGGCGAGAGGGAGTTCAGTACGTAAAATACAATAACTCGTCAAAAAACGAAGGGCACTTCTGTGCTGTGCATGGATTCTTCGGCTGGGTAAGAAGGGAACCTCCTGTTGTTGGGGAGCAATTCTGCGATAAACGACCCCCTCCCCACAAAAACGACTCAACAAACGATGCACCTTCACCAACATGGCACGTATGCTGGGGATTCCCAGCGAGGGAAGAAGGGTTGTATTTCGTTGCTGGAGGGAGGGAGGCCGTGTTTGTATCCGAAAAAGTTTCTAGTAGTTGACTTTTCTCGCTTTTTCTGTTTTCCGTTCTATGTGTACTGCATTCCCCCCGCCTCCTTGCAGTCCGTACGACAGACTGCTAGGGAGAAAGGGGTCGTACTGGAAGAACTTTCGAGAGAGGGGTAGTATTTTGCAAATTGCTCCCTAAGAGCAGGAGGTTCCTTCCTCACCAAGTCAAACTCTTCCCCGTTTTTCGCAGGAATCCATGCACATCATAGAACGTGCCTCCCTTTTTCACTAATTATTGTCTTTTACGTAATCGAACAACGACTACTCTTCATTGTCTGGACGTATTAATCGTTCTTTGTCTCTTAAAACCCTCGGCGCTCAGCCGTATGGCATCGATTAACCCCAACCTTCGCCTTCATGCCCATCTTCTTCAATTACTTTCTCCACTTAATCGACCTTTAACATGGCACATCTTCATAATTCTTCCAGCGCACACTTGTTCCTTTACCAGCAGCTATTCCCACCTCACTTCCTTATATCTGGGAAGGGAAACACTCCAATACTGCTTCGCCAGTTGTGTTTTGAACGCAAAATATGCACGTCTATGTAGATATGTATATATGTGCATAATCACATACACACACATATAATAACACACAAGCATTCCGCTTCTTTGAATGCTCTTCCTCCCCGTTCAAGCAGCTGCCATGCGATAGAAAAAACGCGGCCGTTACGACGAAAAAAATCGAACCGAAACTGCGCCGATAAGCGGCGGCAGCGGGAGAAAAAACGAAAGAGAAAAGAGCGGGCGCGGCAGGGGAACAAGCACCAACAGCAGACATATCTCCGACTATACGAAATGTCAGTGGAAGCATTACCCCTCAGCGCCGCTCCGCGACCCTAGGGACATTTAAACAAGTACAATTCCTGGGAAAAGACATTATCGTTGATTACGTACTATGGGACCGCTATGCCCTGCATTAAAGTACATTACATATTCCAGGAGATTCGAAGCCCTTGGGATGGGTCGTAATTCGTCTTAGGATAGATCGCAGAAGACGAGGATCTCTTCAAAAATACTTTATCGTCGACAATGGACAACGGAATCGCAATGCCGTACATACAAAGTTCATTATTCTAGGAGATTCGGAGGAGTCCTTGGCGGGGGGGGAGGGATGCCGTCTTAGGATAAGGGAACGTAATCGGCTCAGTAGAGACTGCAGAAGACAAATATCCCTTATCGTTTATTACAGACTAAGGGAACAGAAGCCTGCCCTACATAAAAAGAACATCCTTGAAATTGGAAATCCGTG